CAGACAGCCTCTTCCCAATATGCGTTTTTGCAATTTACATATATGCAAAAACGCATAAAAACGAAACGACTTTGTTCCCCTGCACAAATGGTCTGTACAAATAAAATGCTAGCGCGTGCCGGAAGTTGTTAAGGATAATCACTCTTGCTCTAAGCTGTTCTAGGCAAACAAGTTCCCAATGCACTGCAGTTATGTACAGTTCAAGAGCATGTATACAATGCGATTACGCTGCAAGTAAGGTGATACATTTGTCTTTTTATAGTTAGTATAGAGTATACTTGCGAGCTGGTTTTATACTGTTGTCTCCATATGCGGTTGCTGTCTACACTCCTAAAATTTCAGTTTCAGCCTCATCAAAATCTACCATGTGAAAACGTGTAAGGCATAATTGCTGCACTCTCTGAGATGTCTAAGGGAAGGGAGAAAAAATTGCGCATTTGGCTCCACATCTTATGACCCAGAAAGACTTCAGACCCAATAGTATGTTTTTGGATCTCCATATAGCCAGAGACCATGCACTCCTGACCTTCTTCAAGTTCTATTTCATTCGTACTACAAATTAACGCATAGGAATACTGTGTTTCTCTGTTTTTTTTTTCAATTTTTTTAAGGGCAATAAAATCAATCGAACAAACGAACGCATTCTGAACTACGCTGACATATGCTCCCCACTCCAATAAATGTCGCACACGGTCGCATATGTAACTTTCAGCAGGGCATTCGGGCAGTCCAAATACTCCCTGATGTTGGCCACCCAATGAAATTAGATTCTTCATCGGTGGATTTGGACAGCGCTGTGCAATAGCTCGTCTGAAATTTGCATTCTTGAAGTAGCTGATAAAACAAATCATGTGTAACAGTAGTGAGCTGTAAAAAGTAATGAAAATTCATTTTTTCGCAGTGGAGTGGCTTGAACGCAGATGATGGATGTCCACATAACAACTTTGAATGCAATTTTAGCCGAAATGCAACGGGGAAGAAAGTCCATGCATGCATACAAAATTATCCGAATGAGAGTCACTCGAACTGTTACCATCCTATCTGCCTCCGAGTGGTTCCGCTGCTTGCTGAGCGCAGTTGAGACTCCGACTTTGCCAGTACTGCTTTTTCCCAGTTCTTGGAATACACAAATACTCACAAAACAGGCAATTCGCCCATACACTTCTCAGAGTTGAGTTTCTCCATGCATGTATAATGTTTACGCGTTAACTCTTTGGAAGGGTGCTAGTCTTCCCTTTTTGCTAAATGGTAACATTTCCTGCAAAGCTGGCGCGGCTAGCTGGTAGGCTGTAATGGCAAAAACTTAGTTTTAACGTTACTAAACACTAATCGCGTCTTTTTTCTGGGCTGCCCGAGGAAGTTGCATAAATGATAGCTTCTGGCATTAAAACAGAATCACCAGGACCATCCACGATTATGGCGAGCGCACAAGCTCGCTTGGCTTTGCTTGCAAAAAAAAGCTGCAATACACTTAAAATACTAACAAAAACTGCGCTCCCTGTGAAAATCCAATAGCGTTATAACCACTTTTCAGTTTGTCATCCTTCTGAATTTTCTGGCAAACTTCCGCAACTTCATCGTTCACATTCCCGAAGAACCCATGCTCCGTGTCCTTCAAGAAATTCTCACGT